ATGTAACAAACATGCATGGGGGTAGGGTGGGCGTGGGGATGGGGATGGAGTTGGGGACGGGCAGGGGCAGGGGCAGGGGTAGGGTTAGGGTGGGGTATGCCATTTGACACAAAAACTTGTCATACAAAAGACAAGGTATTAGGGTTCCTTGGAGGAAACAAATGGAAAGGCTCTTGTTTTATTATATCTCTTTGTTCTTGTTAAATACATATACATATATGTATGTATATGTATAAATATTCAAGAAAATCTCTCTTTTAAACTCTTTCATTGGTTCTTCAGTCATCATTTTCTCCGTTGTGCGTGACCGACATTTTTTTTCCCTATCCAAATCCACATTTTTCATCTTAATATGTAAGTGATAGAACGCCCTTGAAAAGTATTGCCGATATGAAAAGTTGTTAATGTTAATCTTCTGCAAAAGAATCCATTTAAGTCCTCCAAAATCTGCTTGTAATTCTTTGTTTGTTCATTTCTTGGTACATATGTCTATCATATCCTCTCTTGTTCTTGTTCTTTTATGTTTTTCTCTCCATGTATGCAATGCTAGAAGTTTTGGTGTGATCGACAAGGAGCCTACTAAAAGATTTTTCTTCGCTACAAAGGTTTGTTCAAGTTGCTAATGACAATTATTTAGCCATGCGGGGCAAGTTTAGTACACTGGATTGAACACGAGTGGACTAGAGATGATTAAAGAAAAGAGTCATTATTCACTATCTAGTCCACTCATGTTCATTCTACTGTACCAAACATGGTTCTAGTATCGTAATTACTGATTTTTGTGATTCTCGGTTTTAATGCAGAACAATGACAAGTTCAATCTCGATAAGGTTTCAATTAAATCTGACGCGAAATCTTCGATATCAACAGCCAAAAACGAAACCACATTGAAGGAAAAGAAAGTGGAGGAATATAATCTCAAGAAAAGTTCTAAAAAGAGAGTAATAGTACCAGGTGACACTCAAACCGATCAATCTATGTCTTGGAGGATGCCTCATAAGAAAAGAAGACAAAATGATCCAGGATTTAACTTGGATTATTTACCACCAAAGACTCATCCCCCTGTCCACAATTGATCAACTTCCCGACTCTCGTGAAGTAAATCACTGCACCTACGTTCTGTCCAACCAGTCAAGAGAGAATCAATAGATATCTTTTCGGAATTTAATCAGGAATCTGTTTGGGGACGGAATTAATTATCTAGAGGTGCATTTCTTGATTAATTACTACTAACTATCTAACAACTTTATACAATATAAATACACTGTAGGGCAAGAGCTTCTGAAATGTAATGCCTTATTAGATATCAAGCCTGTTTTGATTGTGTAATGTAATGTTTTGAAGTAATTGATGAGCATGAAGCCATATATATATATCATTTTCCCTTTCAAATGCTTCTTCTTTCTGCTAATATTTCTCTTTCAGTTATTATCTTATTGCATGCAAAAAGACTAACCAATATTCATTGAAAATGATGAAGAGTTTGTTTTTATTGAAATCGAGAATATTA